AAAGTTTTTCGCGGTTATATATCCCCAGAGAAATTTATTTACAATCACTTCTTCGCTGCTTCTTCATCTTGCCTATTCTCTGAAAATTCGATCGGAAGAGCTCTGATCTATTTATTCCGATCTCTCACCGGTTTTGCTCAAATCTCTATCTGTATCTCTCTCTATTCAAAGTCTCGTCGATGGCTTCCAAGTGATTTTGGATTTTTGTAGGTAAGCTTCATCTTTGATTCTTCTCTTGCGATAGAAGCCCTTGGGTAATCTAATTCCGATTTTTCAAATGAAATTTTCGAAAATTCGAGCTCTAATCGTTGTTTATTGGATTTTGTTTGTTCGTAGTTTTTTGAATTAGGTACGAAGTTATAAGTTTAAAATTCCGTTCTCTTTCTTTCTGGGTAATATGCGCACTGATTTTTTGAGCTTTTGATTCGAATTCGAAACTCAAATCGATTGGTGTCAGGTTGTGTGTGATTCGAAGTCTCCATAAATTTCAGTTTAGTTACCTGGAGTTGCTTAAGGAGATTTAATTTCAATTTGAAGAAGTGAATTTCTTAAAACCTTTTCTGGGTTTCGGAACTAGTGTTTGACACTGATAATGAGCATTCTTTTTGCATTTACAGCATCAGTTGGGTTTTGCATGTTTCATTGAGTGCAGGTAGTGGATTTTCTTTTGGAGATGATCAACTAGATGTATCAATCAAGGATCAAGCCTATGATTTTGTTGTGCATGTTGGGTTTGCATCTTGGTAAAACTAAACTTGTTTTTCGATTTTGGGAACATTTCAGGTAAAGGAAGAGCTTAGCTAATGGCGCCTTCAAGATCAAAGAAATCCAAGTACAAGAAAACTTCCCGTGGTAAAGGTGTTTCTCCTCGCAAAGATGATGAAAGCATTAGCAAAACCAAACAACGGGTAAGCTGTTTTCCTGATATTCAAGTGGATGACCTCGATTTTATGTAGGGTCATATGATTTTTCATACTTGTATTGCTCATCCCAATGTTAGGCATTTTGTTGTGACATTTTGCATAGTTAGGCTGCAGAAGGATTACAATCTTTAGCATATACTAGATATATCTGCTAGAATTTTCAGGGTTCACCCCAATGTCTGATTCTTGATTGATTCAAGAATTTATTACCTTTTTTTTTTTTGGTTTCATCATTTACTCAACTCTTTTCTACTTTTAAGTTGTTTATATTTCCGTTCCTATTTCAAGGAGGAGACATTGTTTTACCCTTGTCTCCAATGTGCGAGCAAATTTTTGTTGTTATTCTGCGACAAACTGTATCAGCTGGTCTCGAATAATATCTTAATTATGCTCCTTACATGCAGAAGAGGAAGTTGTCGGATATGTTAGGTCCTCAGTGGAGCAAGGAAGAGTTGGAGCGCTTTTATGAAGGATACCGTAAATTTGGAAAAGAATGGAAAAAGGTTAGTTCAATTACCAATATATACATCATTTAAGATGTGGAGTATGATTTTTAGTACAACATTCGATTATGCAAAATGAAGGGTATAACTGCTCCATAGTTTTCGATTAATGTTACGGGATGATAAGGTCATTTTGTAATCACTTTGGTTTGCAGAATTAGCAATAATTCTGGTATTTTTTCCTCTATGGTTTGTAGGTGGCTACATTTGTACACAGCCGTTCTGCAGACATGGTAGAGGCTCTATACACTATGAATAAGGTTAGCATGCTCTTGTCCTTCCTCGATTTGTCTTTTGATATTTTTCTAAACCTTTCTGGACTTATATTATGCCATCTGTACTTTAGGCTTATTTGTCTCTTCCGGAAGGCACTGCTTCTGTGGTTGGCCTAACTGCGATGATGACTGATCACTACTCTGTCTTGGTGAGAGCTTTAAACCGTTCAAATATTTATTTGATTTCAGTATCTTGGTTTATTGCTAACTTACACGCATTTAGTCCAGTTCAGGATACTAATTTCAATTTGTATTATATGTCGTACACCCGATCCTATGGAATATCTGCCAACTACTAATCATGTTTTTTTTCCTTGCTAAAGTTTGTCCCCCCTACAAATTTAGCATTCTTGTTTGTTCACATTTTTACTTGAAAATATAGTTTATCTCAGGGAAGACATTCTTACATTTTTTTGTTGGGTGTTTCTTTGTTTTGCGTTTCTTAGAAAGATGGCTAGCTGATTGTTTTTGCCCCTTGTTGATAAAGTTTTCCATTTCTGTCGCAAAGAAATATAATTTGGTAGTATGGCGTTGGTTTGATTTTATGTAACGAGTCTATCTCTTCTCCAGCATGGAGGAAGTGACAGTGAGCAGGAAAACAATGAAGGTATTGAAACTCTGAGGTCAGCTCCTAAGCGCTCTAAAGTGAAATCCTCAGATCATCCCTCTATAGGATTAGAGGGTCTGTCTGACCGCTTGCAGTTCAGGTCCTCGTCAGGCTACTTGCCATCCCTGAAGAAGAGACGTACTGGTATTTTTCTCTGCTTCTCTTTGCCTAAAAATTTGTTCACCAATTCACTCACAAGCATGAGTTGTGCGTGTACTCACAGTTATATATATGCATGTGTCTTTGCTTGGTGCAAATTTTGTTTTTCTCAACTAATGAAATCATTTTGATGTCACGCCATGTCGATGAATGCCTTTCAGCATCAGCTTAGATAGAACTTCACTTTCCTTTTTTTTCACTAGCGTCAGTAATGTACATGAGAATTTTTTTGTAAAAGAAAATTACTTGAGAAGATGCAACTCAAGTTAGTAGCTTACGAAATGTATGAAGTAGGATAGAAAAGATTTATCTCCCCGAAATATTAATTGCTTATTAGCTATCTCTCTAATGGAAAAGTATATTGGTTGCTGACTTTTCTTTTTGTCGTAATCTGCATGTGCCAAGAGACTGTGCCTCGTGCTGTTGGGAAAAGAACTCCTCGAATTCCTATCTCATATGAGAAGGATACTAGGGAAAAATATTTATCACCTGTTAAGAGAGGTCGAAATCAGAAGGGGGATGATACTGATGATGATATGGAACATGAGGTTGCATTAGCATTAACTGAGGCTTCACAACGTGGTGGCTCTACCAAAAACTCCCACACACCAAGCAGAAAAGCAAAGATGTACTTCCCTGATAGTAAGGGTGAAAGAATGGTAATCTCTTTACTGTAGCTCATAAGTTATGTACTTCATGAAGTTGTGATCCTCAAAAGTTGCACTGCTTGTGGTGAAATACACCTCTTTGCTTAAGTAGGAACTATTTTATAGAAATATGGACTGATAGATTTTGATATTCAGCGTGCCGATATTGACTTGGCGATTTCCAAGCTTCGTGCCACTGACATGGAAGATGTCCGCTGTGAACCAAGCTTAGGAAGCACTGAAGCTGATGATGTGGATATCTCTGGAGTTAGAAATGACATGACGCATGGAGATGGTTCTAGTGCCATGGAACGGCAGCAAAAAGGAAAAACATACTATAGGAGGAGATTAGGAATTAAAGAAGATGATGCAAAAGAAGCGTGCAGCGGTACAGACGAAGCACAAAGCTTAGGTGCTCTCGATGAGAAATTTGAAACAGAAGGGGATGATAAATCCTTGAAATTCACATATAGAAGTTCAAGGAGAAAAAGCAAAAAAAGTCTCTTTACTGCAGGTGTGTTCTAGTCTCTCACTTCTCTGTCTAAATTTACCTATCTGCAATGCACATCAAAGTAGGAGAAGAATGAATTAATAGAAGCATGAAGTCTCCTTTATTCAAAGCACCCTTATAAAGCAAGCGAGCACATGCCTGGTAGACTTAAGAGAAACAACACCAATTCAAGTCCAGCGATCCTTTTTAAGAAATAAGACTTCAATCTCAACCAGCTGGTACTCTTATTAGATGGAAGTATATTGAAAAATCATGATTTGATATACTTTATTTGGTGGTCACTCTACCTTGTGTTTCTCAACTTTATTATTCTGTTCAGTGGCAAGTTCTAAAATCTAGTAATGTCATTGACAACTTTATGGGTCTGGATAAACTGTGGGAGCAACTACTTTTTCTTTCTGGTAATCTAATACGGCTGGCTACTGAGCTTGGAATTCAAATCTGACAAAATTCGTAATGACGTTCATTAAGTCATTCTTCCTGAAGATTTCTCCTATCTTTGACAAACTTTAGTAGCTCCGTTACGTTTTTTTTGGAACTTAACTGATGTTTACATTCATTTGAACTTAATAATTACTGCCATTCTTTGCATGTATGCATGGTCATGTTGCCAAGTTTCAATTTTTACTGTTTATACTGGCACTTCAACTTCTTTTCCTGTCAATGCTCTCTGCAGATGAAGACACAGCATGTGATGCTCTCCAGACGCTGGCAGATCTATCGCTGATGATGCCTGAAACTGCCACGGACACTGGTGAGATACATATGTTTGACCTATAAGTGTTGTACATATAAACATATGACCTATAAGTGTTGTACATATAACTAAGTGTCTTAAGCTTGTTACTGCTGTCTCTTCATGAAAATTCATCTCGTTTATCAACTTTCTCAATCTTAATTTTGGTTTAATTTCAGAGTCATCTGTTCAAGCTGAGGAAAAGAGAGCTCGAAAAGCTAATGTGTCAGATTTAAAAGGGACCGATCCAGCATCCGTGTCTAAAAGTGGTTCTGTTAGAAACTCCAAACAGAGAAGATCTGTCAGCAATGATCTTTGTAATACCGAAGCGGAGAGAAATAGTCCAAGTAGCTCTGTATTCCTAAAGAGACGGCAGAAAGCATCACCAGCTAAAGTAAGAGAAATATATATGGACCAAAGACTGATTTGCGTTTACTACTGTTGTCAGAATTCATGACCATGTTGATCTTCCTGCAGGTTCCTAAAGATGAGCTTGCTGCAAGCTCACAAGTCATAGAGCCTCATAATAACAAGGTACTGTCTACTTTACAACACAATCTTCCTATTACGCAATATTGCATACAGTACTTATTTTCGTGCTCTTTGAAATGTACTTATCTA